AAGAGAGATTTGTTAATTCAAAAGAACATTAATAGAAGAAAAATGGAGACTGTAAAACCTACATTAGGTATACCTACTAAAAACGGGTCTAAGAAGAAGTTTACTGTAAAATATATGAAGAAGAAAAATTCATAGAACTGATTTTGATAGTGAATGCTATATACCTGGGTTTTTTACAATTTCAGTTGTAAAGGTAATAAAGAGACCCGATGTGACTAAACTCGTCTGAGAAAGTGGTACTATGTTTGCTCATTGAATTACTTTCCCAAATAGTAGAAATAGTAGAATGAACAATGGATTGGTTTTATACCAAAAGATATTCAATATGTATTGTATGTCATCTAAAGTTGATCGGTGTTATTACATATTTTAAATCTAATACAGTAGACCAGAAACAAGGGAATATGTAACTGAACTTCAATTTATTTGTTAAATTAAATAATTAATATTAAACATTTAATATTAAAATATTTTTAAATAATAAGTGAACATTATACACTTATACATACGTTTAACACACGTTGAAAAATAAATTATAAATAATATATTAACTTCATTTTATTACTATTAGTACAATTAATATTATTTTTAAATTTTTATATAAGCTAAAAATATTGTTTGAAATATTTCTTTGAATCAATATTAAGCACATTTTCTTAACGACAATTAACGTACATGCGTTAGTGCAAGTACGTAACAAAAAACACCTCTGTCATAAACACTACATCGACTTAACGTTTTAATGGTTGAAGTTGAAAAGACACAAGTTTTGGATAAGTAATTTTATTACATTCTTTCCAGTTATTTGAAATTTGTTACAATTTCATCGAAGCCATATGTTTAATTTATCGCACTTATTATATTTATAAATATCCTTATAGTAGATGTATTTTAAATAATAATAATTGATAAATGTTAAGACTTTTCTAAAGCACTTTTTTCAATGGCCATTCAGTAGACGTTCGCAAAATATTCTATAACTTTTTATTTTACAAATATTTCATTTTCATAAATAATTTTAAAATATTTAATGTTTTTATAATGTTTAGCAAGTTATAAAACTATTTGAATATAAAGAATTTAATAAATTGTCCGAAATTGCCGTTTGATTTTCATATCACTCACGGAAACACAAACATTAGGACTTGAGTGTTTCATATAGTTAAAAATATTTAATAAATAATTACCTCTAACGTAAATATATTTATTGCTTTTAACAACTGCAAATATTTCACTGTTTTTATATAATTTTTAATGAATGAGTTTTAACTTTCCATACAATTGAACTGAAATCAAAATACTATACGAATGGATGTGATTGGCAGAGTCAAATATCTGAACTCATGGTTGCATTTTTGTGCACATACTTGTATTTATATGAAACATACAAATGCAGCGAAATATGTCAAAATATGCAATGCTTCAAGAATTTTGATAATTATATATATTATATTACAATAACTATTATATAAAAATCTCAATTTATAATTATTGTATTACTAAAGAAAAAATTATTGTATTCAAAAAAAATTTTTTATTATTATTATAATAATTATTAATTGAGCTACATGTTAAGCATTTCATGTATGAGCATTTGTAAGTTCTCTATACTATTCAGTTTTATTTTAAGTTTATGTGGAGTTCGAGTGAGAAAAACTTAAAATACAATTTTTTAAGTACTAAGCAGAGTTTAGTATTAGTACAATTTGATATAAGACAAATATAAATAAAATCTTTTCAGTATATGACATTTAAGTATTATATATATATGACAAACTTAAGTATTCAAATTATTTAATTTGAAATACATATATTACTTTTATTTTTATCACTTTCGTCATCGATTTTATATTTGGCTTAATTTTCTGTTTTTAATTAAATATCGGTTGGTCAATTATTAGCTTTATTACCTATATTTATTCTGGCAGAAAACATCAGCTTCTTTGATTAAAAATCAAATGGTTGTTGTTGACTTCAATTCTAAAAATTAAGCGTTTATCACAATGACTCAAATAACCAATTAAAATTGAAATCATTGAAATTTCATATCAATAAAATTTTAAAAAGAAATTTTAAACAATTTTAAAGTATTTCTTTAAAGTAAAAAAAATAAATATTGGCTACTTCTGAAAGTTCAACACAATTTAATATATTTCTATTGTATTTGAACAAAACATTTGAAAACATTTGTATTTGAAAATTTAATTAATATAATTTATTTTGATAAGAACTACATGTTACTCAACATTAAGATTGCTATTACAAATATATGGCAATACAATTAACTCGCAATTAACGCAATTAACTAGACTGTAATATAATAATAGCTGTTTTTTACACAAAATTTAACTAAAAAATAATAATGTTCTAATAATCGAACATTATTATTATAAATTATATCACTATAAATGTGAATATAATATACTAATGCTGGAAAAATGTTGAGTTACAAATTAAACATGCCATAAAGTACATTATTAATTTTATTTAATATTTTAAAAAATTTATATTCTTTTTGTTGTTATCAAAACTTGCAAGAATGATTGCCACATTGAAATATTTCAATTTCATATCATTGCAGTACATTTTCACATTTTGCATTAAAGCACAATTACAACACAATTATCGAGATAAAAAATAGCGTGAATGTAGTGTCAAAGATCAAGAGTTCGATATTAAAGAAGTTACGTATATAGTCATCCACGCATATTTGAATCATATGTATGGGTATAGTTAATATTTGTTTTGTGTACTTCATTTGTTTGATTTTTTTTTAATTTGCAAATATTATATCTTATGAGTTCAAACTATTGTGAAACAATAACAGAAAATTTTTTTTAATTAGACAAAATACAATGGAATACATTTTCTTGATTTTAACTGAACATACCACACCCAACGAGTAATAATTCAATGAACGCGCACTTTACAGCTGATCAATTTGTTTATGTCTGCTAATTGTGACGATACTATGTCGTGTCCTCAGTAGTGATAATGAGATTACACAGATTTAAAATGAAATGATAAAATTAGATTTTTACAATGCAAAATATTTTTTTAAATTATATACACTTATTGCTTGTATGCTTGGTCATTCTAGCACTGCAAGGACCGCAGAGAGTGCAATGCTCACAGTATTACACTAAAGAGAAAAAACTGGAGCTGAGGTAGTTCGAATATGAAGTACATCTTTTCAAATTTGCTTAAATTGTTTTACATTAAAGGGAACAAGTGCGAAGTGTGTTTCAACATGGATACGATAGTTATTTGCGTTACGCAGCAGATTATGATGAACTCCGTCCATTGACATGTGATGGTGTGGATACTTGGGGTAGTTATTCACTGACATTGATTGATGCCTTGGACACGTTGGCAACCATGGGCAATTATAGTGAATTTAGGCGTATCGCTTTATTAATTGAGAAGAAAATGAATTTTGACAAAGATATTAATGTTTCGGTTTTTGAAACAAATATACGCATTGTTGGCGGATTGATATCGGCGCATTTAATTTCGAAAAAAGCTGGTTTAAATGTTGAAAAAGGTTGGCCATGTCAAGGTCCATTACTGCGATTAGCAGAAGATGTTGCAAAACGACTTTTACCAGCGTTTGACACGTTCACCGGCATGCCGTATGGTACAGTAAATTTACGGTATGGTGTTCCAAAAGGTGAAACACCAATTACTTGCACTGCTGCCGTTGGCACCTTTTTAATAGAATTTGGGGCATTGAGTCGTCTTACTGGTAACCCAATTTATGAGGAGGTAGCTCTAAATGCAATTCATACAATATGGGAACGTCGTTCTCCGCTTGGTTTGGTTGGAAATCATATTGATGTGCTAACAGGCCGTTGGACAGCTTTGGATTCTGGTATTGGTGCAGGCGTTGATTCACTATTCGAATATTTAGTTAAAGGCGCAATTATGCTTAACCGGCCAGAATTATTGGAAATGTTTCATGAAGCCCGACATGCTATAGATAAATATCAAAGACGAGATGATTGGTATGTTTGGGTTCACATGGCAAAAGGACAGGTGACATTACCTGTTTTTCAGTCTTTAGAGTCATTTTGGCCTGGTATTTTAAGTTTAATTGGTGATATAAGGCCTGCTGTACGCACGTTTGCAAAGTATTACAGCGTATTGAAGAAATATGGTTTCTTACCAGAATTCTTTAATATACCATTAGGTGAAGCATCTCAAAATCGTGAAAGTTATCCACTTCGTCCTGAGCTCGTAGAGTCAGCTATGTATTTATACCGTGCCACAAATGACCACGTATATTTGGAAATGGGTGAAACACTGCTTAAAAGTATTGAATTCAGTGCAAAAACAAAATGTGGCTATTCTACTGTGAGTATAACTATATAGCATGGATAAAAAAATTTTATTAAATAAATATTTCTAGATACGCAACGTTGTTACACATGAAAAAGAAAATCGAATGGAATCGTTTTTCCTTGCTGAAACTACGAAGTATCTTTATCTATTATTTGATGAAGAGAATTTCTTGCATAATGATGGTGTCACTGGCGAACGTTTAGAAACTACTAATGGGGAGTGTGTAGTATACGCAGGATCTTACATCTTTAATACAGAGGCACATCCAATAGATATGTCGGCACTACATTGTTGCCATGATATTAAAAGTGATATATACGAAGGGCTTGATTTGGAAATGTTTAGTGATAATAATTTGTTAAAAACAGAACGTGAAAGACGTATTGCCGATGAAACAAAAAATAAAAAATATCAATGTGCTGAAGGTTTCGAAGACATGCAAAAGCATAAAAATAAACTAAACACCACCAATTCAGATCAAAATGATACAACTGCAACAGTTGTTGATATAATGGTTTACGATGAAAATAATAATAAGGCAGCTGATGTTTTAATTGATAGATTTGATAAAGTTAAAAATCAAAGACGAAAGGAAGAAAAAGATGCTACAACCATTAATTTATTAAGAAATCAACTTACTGTAGCAGATTTAGATGAATTTTTCGATAAGAAACGATCCGATTTTAAAAGCGCTAGAGCTGCATTAGATTATGTAGTAAGATTCATGAAAAATTTTACACTGGATGCATCATTTATAGTGGGATTAGAAATATTTGATAAAAATGTGTCTAATATATTAGGATTTGGTGTACAAAAAGATTTCGAAAGCACTATGCGTACACTTTGGGAAATATATGAACTTAAACAGCGGTACGCAGTGAATGTTAAGTTAGCAATTGATGAAGGACTTACGTCTTATGATGACGATAAATACGAGAAACTAACAAATTTGTTACAGGTTTTGGATTATGAAACAACAAAATACTCCACATCAATATCATTAGAAGAAGAAGCTTTCAAAACTAAATTGGAAACTTTAAATAATTTAAGACTAGAATTTCAGTTAACATTAGTAAATACAACGTCCATGCAAGAGTTCCTATTAAAAGTACTGATTAAGGGTACGAATGATAAAAATCGCACCTATACAAAAATTTTAGACGAATCTGATATTAAAACGTTAAAACCACCGACTCTTTCGCCTAAAGATCGTGTTGAACTTTTCGAATATATACAAAAAAATGCCGCTTTCAAAAAGCGCATGATTGAAACATTTCGAAAACTACAAACTTTAATGAAAGAAGAAAAGGCACTACCGCCCTTACCTGAAAGTGCTGAATCAGAAACAAATGATGAACTTATTGTTGCTACAGACCAACCAAAGAGACCTAAACTTAAACAAGGTGATTTATTAGCGCCAGAATTCAGAACTATAGATAATAGTGAAATCAATTTCAATACAGAAAATATAGTGGCCGAAACTACTGAAGTAAGTGAAAATAATGACTCGGTCTGGTCTCAACTTGTGCAAACTTTTCTCAAAAAAACTACTCCACAACCCATTAAATTTGATGAGGGAATGCTTTTAGAAAAAACTAGATTATCCTTACAAAAATTTATTGCTAAACCCGTAAACTATGAAGTACTTACTTGTCAAAGACCTACGTTTATTGAAAACTTTGCTTACCGTTCATTTTATCCATAGTGGTTTTAAATATTCTTTTAAAAGACACGATCTTAGTAATAATACGAAGACATATATTACGGGTGATGATTAACACTCATTAACATTTTAATAAAATAATTAATATTTTATTAAAAATGCATTTACAATCGTTAAATATGCAACTCAGGCAACTAATATTATATATATGACCAAAATGTTTTGCCATAGCACTCTCAGCTATAAAAAATGTATAAGAAAGAATATATATCCCTATATATATAATTGTAAATAAAACTATTAGAATTTCAATAATTAATTAATCTTAATAAGTAATTTTTTTTGTAAAAGAACTTAAAAACTAATTATAAATTATTTGAATGTATGTGTATTGTAGTATAAAAATAAGAATATATACAAAGGTAATGGCAATGTTCCACCAAATATAACTAAAAGATATTTATTGTATAATTTTAAAAATTATAAAATTTATAATAAAAAAAGATATAAATTCTTATTTGTGTGAATTATAATTTTTATTATTATATATATTATTATGAAACAGTAAAATTTTAATTTATATTTGGTTAAATTAAAATTATAATATATGTAAATTACTATATTTATATAATTTGCATATATTATTACAACTTTTATAATATTTATAAATTATTTTATTTATTATTATAATATGTAAAAATAATAATTATTGTACTGTATACAATTTATAAAAATAATAAATGTTATAAAATAGAAGTTTGTCGTTTTTTTAGAAAAAGTACATAATTTATACAAATTTTTTTTTAAATGTTCATTTATTAAAAGATTATTAATAAACAACAAACAAATTGTTTATTATACTTATGAAGCTCATTAAATTTAAAAGAAATTAGTATTGTAGTATCTTATTAGGAAAACTGTGTTAACAAAAACATATACATATCTGGGAATAAAAATGTGAGACTTTATACTCGTATTAAGTATTTTTCTGGGTGGTTCATATTGGAAGATTTGCCAGTTTAAGTTTAATCTTTACTGGTTTTAGTTTTCAATTATGAAACGTTCACATCGCGAGGTGGTTTCGTAAAAACTAAAGAATTAAATTACTGATAGAGATTTGTATAGTTGATGAAATTTTTATGGAAATTGTTAAGGAATAATATTTCCATTTTTAAAAGTCTTTAAAAAAACAAACTACCGCATAAATGAATGTAATTTTTAATTGAATAACATAATAATAGTGGTATGTTTATAATTATTAAAACAAACTTAATAAAATTCATTAAAGTAACAGAAACTAACATGGATCTGCTTTATGAATACAAAAAGAAGACATAACAAACATTAAAATCGGTAGAAAGAAATTATTTGTTTATTAGTTTCGATGTCATCACTGTCAGTTAGTTTGCGTGCTTAATGAAGACTAGAATAAAAATGTTTTCTTTGGCTTGCAACGAAGTAAGAATATTTTGCATCAGCACCATCATACTTGTCAACAGCAAAACTATATTATTTTATAGAATGTGACAACTTTTGCTTTCTAAACATAGACAACACACGTACAAGCTCTATTCCACAGGCCTTCCCAATTCCTTGCTCTCTACTTCGACGAGATAACACGTTCTCTCCACTCCATTTCGATGTACAATCGCGGATATCGTAACCTTCATCACAGGCTATACCGTTAGTGGCACCCCTCTCACACCCTTGATAATACTCCCTACAGAGATATCCATTATTGCTTACAATTAATGCTTATGTGTCGTTACCCCAAGTTTAGATAAATTTGTAATTACAAATACTAAGTCCCTTTACAGTCTACCTCCTGATTACTAGAATGGGGGTTACATCCACTAAACGCGGCTACAATCTTCCACAACCATTCCAAAGAGGTGGTTTTAGTGGGTTAAAGTCTCACACTATGATTGTCGATTCTTTTCACCTACTGCAAAAGAAAAAAAAGAGAAGACACACTTCAGACGACTGATGTTGTTAATGCCGACTCAGCCTGTAGGCTACTTGTTATTATGAATTGATTTTATAAATATATATATATAAATATATTATTTCCTATAATAAAAAAAATCAGCTATGTTGATGCTTGTATATTGCAATTATAGGCTAAGGCCTTGTACGAGTCCGAGTAATTTGATGGTGAATTGAGGGAAATAGTAAATTATTTAGGTATGTCAGCGAATGTTGCTATTTACCAGAATTTCGGGTAGGGTAAATTAGATAATAATTAGGTAAATAAATAAATAAATTTGAAAACATTAAACCAATAATAATAAATTAGTTCAATAAATAAATAAAAAAATCCTTAGGAAATTTCAATTTTACTTTACCGCAATTTACTCGAACTCGCACACGGCCGAAGTATAAAAGGGAATATAACTCATAAAAATAATTGGCTAAATTTTTATTTATATAATAATTATTTTTTTAATCAACTAAGAAATAAAAAATAATGAAAATATAATAACATTTTTTATCTTTTATTAAATTTATATACAAATATTCCGCTGTCATTTTGAAGTTAACATGAAAACATTAAAAAAAACACAAATGAATGAATTCTTTATTAGTGACTATGAGCTCTGTTGTTATATTATTAACAAAAAGTGGTGAAATTTCATTTAGCACAATTTAATTGTTTGAAATAATCTAAAAAATATGAAAAATTCTGTAAAGGCCAGATACTTTCTAAATATGCTTGGACGTGAAGTGCGAGAATATGTCTGTACATGTACATAGATATTTACATATAATTCTATATTTAATATATTTATGTATATATTGTTTTTCATTCTAATTGAAGCTGTAAAATATAAAGTTCATAAACTGATTTAATTGTTAGTAAGAGGAATGTAAACATTTTAGCAATGTGTTCTTTTGCTTGAAATTTGTCTTCTGTCTATTTTGTTGACAATAACCCAGCAGCAAATGAAGTGATTCTAGCAAGTCTAAACGAATTATAAGCGACAAACAGTTACAGTCTGCACGGTTATATGGAACTCGTGCGCTATATATACATATATATACATACATAAATACAAAAACAAATATATATATAAGTATTAATTTTACTATAAATATATAAAAATTATGAAATAAATATGTATTTATATATATACATATATATACGTATAAATTTATATACAAATACATGTATATATATATATATATGTATGTACATTAATATAAATATAAAATTAAAAACAATTAGAAATTTAAACTACATATACATATTTTGTATACATATACATAAGCTTTTATTGATATTCAATTTTGTGTTTTTGTTATATTTATGTTATATTTTTAGTTTTAATCACTATTTTATTGTATCACTAAAATAATTCTTAATCTTGTCAAAGGTTATTTTATTTATATATAAAATTAATTTATTTTCATATATATCATATTCCTTTATCCACATACTCTGTACCCACATATGATTGCACATCGTTTGTGTAGAATGACTACATTTAGCGACTGGGTGTTTTGTCAAACAACCACCGTTTATGTTATAAAAATTTCGTTTTTTTGCTTGTATATTTTTATAATTCTCATCGAGTTTAGTGAGTCCTATATTTAAGTACTCAGTGCAGTGCGGCGAAAAGCATACTTACCTGGCGTAGGGGTTACCGTGATCAAGAAGGCGGTTCCCCCGAAGTGAGGCTTGGCCATTGCACTACGGTTGAGTTGACCTTCGCGATTATTCCTAATGCGAATAACTCGTGCGTGTAATTTTTGGTAGTCGGGAATGGCGTTCGCGCCGTCCCGGTTCAAAATAATACATTCAAATAATTAGTAGTAAGAAGAGGCAAGTGTGCTGAATAAGGTTCAGCGCAAATTACTTACATTGCTTTAGATGGTTAGTGTTTGCGTATAGAATAAAATAAAAATCCAGCTGTCGTTATTTAAGGAGGTAAATTTTTACCATTTTTTAACGCACAGCTGAAGATAAATTCTATATGTAAAGTTGTGGATCTATATGTATATTCGATTTAGTTTTCAAGTCCATTGGAAAAGTATGTTAGTTATTGGTTTTGTTTTATGAAGAAATGAAAATTATGAGTGTGTTTGGATGTAAACGTTATTAAGGCTCAGTTAGACTAAACGGTGGGTAACGTAAGAACCCAGTAGTCCGTTTGGTAAGCACATGAAAAAGGTATGCATGACATCATGTTTACAAAGGAATGTGAGAAGTCATCATACTAAAAGAATGTACTGGTAATGTATCATGTCATGCGGCTAGCGAAAAAAAAACCCTTACTCTTCGTGAAATTAACCGAACGACAGATATTTTTTTGTCATATTTGTTGTTGTTGTATTCCTTAAGGAAATTTCTATACAATTATTCGAGCATGCTCAGTATTCGTGTGCATTTAAGTGCGGAGCGTTTAATTTATCGGTGCGGATCGATTTTGTGAATTTTTGGTGTCTTGCTAAATTTATTAAATTTAATAAATTAATAAACGAATATTATAAACGAATAAACAAAAGAAATTTATAATATATTGTGAATTTGTGTTTAACAATATTAATTATTGTTTTTCCTTCGGAATTCCAGTGTAAGTTGAAATTTAAATTGAAAACATTTTTTTGATTGCGCTTTATATACCTGGCGTGTTTTTTAAAAACTATATTTATTATTTCTGTTTCAGTCTACAGTTCTGTTGCTGTTTCCAGTTTATTTACTGGAATATTTATTTATTATTTTAATAATAATTGTTATTATTTAATTATTTGTTTATATTTTAATTTAAGTTGTTAGTTATTATTTCTCAATTTCTCAAAATCAGGACGCGATACTCAAGGAGTTGAAATTAGTAAAAGGTAACATTACTAATTTTACTAAATAAAATAAAATTATTTATGAGAATCCCTTTTTTTTACAGAAAGTAACATTGACGTTATAGCAAAATTCCACACACTCATGAACATGATGGAAAAGAGAAGCGATACAGCAGTTTCTGATAACTGCTTTCCTATTCAACCGGAGGGAATAAAAAAAAACTTACATCGAATCATCGATCGAACGTTAGTTTTGGAGTTAAATTATGATGGAATTGGCACCAAAAAAGCATTTAAGGAATTTAAATTCTTAAATGCTTCAATATTCGGTATAAAAAAATTGATGCATATATATAAATAAATAAATAAAACTAACAACTTATTTTTCTTTACAGAAGCCTTGCAAAAAGATGGCTATACAGAAAAGGAGTATATTTCGGATATACGAATAGCCATAAAGAATGTTAAA